AACAAGTCTGCTATTAAAGGGGACCACTTGGTATCAAGCTCGATATTGACGATTTCCCCTTTGCTGTTCACGAGTAGCGATCCTTTGTTAATTGGAAAATGGCAATTTCAAACGTTTCAGTGCAATAACTTGAGAACTCACGGTTTTACCAATGCTTTTCAAATTTTAACCTAACATCTTTAATATATCTAAGGTGTTGGTCAATATGTTTTGGCACGTTGAAATTTTCATTGTATATGGAGAATTTTGAATATTAGCTTCTGAGGTTTTATCTGTGTTTTGAGCAAAATAATATTTTAAAGAAATATCTAAAAACGACAACTCCTTGCTTGCTTGAAAAATGATATAACCACAAATTAATGATAAGAATGAAGAAAACAAGAATGTAGATCATCTTCTGAAGGTCCATTATTAGTATTGTTCAAACAAGTGTCTGTTTTTACATAAATTTTTCTAGTTTATCGATTTGATGAGATTAAATCTTTGTCCATAGTGACTGATTATTATTGTCAATTGTTTGTTAATATGTTGTGATATTGACAAACGCAAACAATCTACACAAATTAATGGTTGTATAGAATATAGTAGTTTAAAATTACAAAAATCAGTTTTAATACGCATAAAATTGGGACAACAGATAGAATGAAAAAAGAGTAATAAAAAAGGAAATAATAGAAAATATGTCACATTATGACGAACAATTCAGTGATTATTATTGTAGTTTAACTACAAAACCAGATGTTGTTTTTCACATTGAGGACCTAAAGATGGTTTTTTCAATAGGCGAATTTAGATGGTAAGAGTAGGAGGCGAGTGTCTGGGCCCTTCTTTATAAATAAGCTGCTCATTGCTAATCCATAGACATTTGCCCTTTTAAATAAAAAGGTGGTTCCCATTTTGTAAATCCTTGATCCGTCATTATCTTTAAAGACTCGATATGATTCGAAATGACAAGACATGGTATGAAGACAACACACAACAAACATAATCGGCATGTTCAAAATATTTTTGGCGTTAGAAGCAAAAAAAAAAGGTATTTTCTGGCTTCTACTGGCATTTAGGAGTAAGAAAGAAGATTAAAAATTCGGGGTCAGAATAATATGTACGAGTACTATTTGACATTGGACATTCAACAAATATGATACAGTCATCAATCAAGAAACACAAATGAAGCGACAAATACTGATATTCTATTAGTGAAACATAATATGACCATAATGAATATATATTAATTTGCAATTGTTTATTCGTCCAGTTCAAGGCTTTAATATAAATCTATTAACATTCCGATAATCAATTCTACTATACAAATTGAGACTACTTAAACGAGAGATACTGATATTATTATGTTCATTTCTGTGTTTCTAATTAAGGTATAGTATTGCTTACAGCTATTTGGCTTTCATAGAGGATATTGTCATATTTCCCATGTCTCCTTGGGATAGATTCAGAAAGAATGTCATTATAAAGGATATTAGTTGCCAATGAATAGCAAGAAAATGGTAAGTTTAGTAATTTAATAAATCTTTTAACAGATAAACAATTCTGCGGAAGCACTTAAAAAAATGTAGCCTTTAATTAATTCTCGTATTTGATACATTGTATCCCGAATTTGGCTATCCTTTTGTTCCTTTCTGTTTTGATCAGCTCTTCCAATGTTTTATTAGGTTTTGGATTTTTAAATATTTCGGACTCGAGCATCACTAGAGAGAAATTATTTGTTGAAAAGCGCATCTGGTGCATGAAAATTGGCACCGTGAATGATATTGTAACACTAGTTTAAAATTATCTATACGTATCTCTTGTTGTTCACATATAATAATGACATGCATGGTTTTTTTTATAGTGCGCTAATATTTTCCACTGGACGTTAAGCAACCAACAATCAATCAGTATAGTGCGCTTATTGGTGTTCACATTTTCTTCCTTCGTTCTCTTTTAGATAGTTGTCTCATTGGCAATCATACCGCATCTAATTATTTGTATATGTCTTTCTTATGATCACGACATTAAGGAGACCACATAAACCAAAATACCGTTGTGTTTCGTGGTGCAGTTGATCATATTTTACAGATTTGAAGTGTCTATTCTTTAGGAACTATTCCAATATACCGATCTCAAATGTTGAACTGAAATGCATTCTATATGTTCAACTTATAATGTTCACAGTGATCAACTAACAAACGTTATCATTATGGGTTTGAACATTCCTGGACAAACCAGACTAAAACTGCGGAAGCACGAACTTGTTGTGTTAAAGTGTTAATTTCATTTACTAACACTGGGTCAATACAACTGCTGATACCCATAGGGTATCATGTGCTTCGGTATTGACATGATTTTTTACAAACGTTTTGTAAATTCCACGAAATAACGAAATTGTTAAGAAACTACAGTGCAATCACTCATGCAAAGTTGACCTTAGTCTATCTAGTTTTATGTCTCTCTTGGTTATATAGCTCTTCGATTGTTTATGTCTTATACATCCTTGGCTTTCAAATATTTGGGTTTTCAGCGTTGTTGATGATGGTTAATCCCGGAAGCACGAATTTAAAAATTGTTATTTATGTTTATGAGGTCTGTTGGAACTTCTAATTCAGAAAAATATTTATGCTAATTTTATAAGATGTGGTACTTCTAATTAAGAAAGTCTTAAATCATTTATAATAAGAACATCTTTGGCGCTAACGGTTAGAAATCTTGGAGGTTCCAAAGCAGAATACTTCCGACCACTACAACCAGTGGTAGTCATAGTGAATTTGCCTATCGGTGTACAACCATTCTCTTTTTTGTGGTATCGATTTTGACAATTTTTATAAATTGTTTAACCAACAATCAATTGATCTGTCTACCACATGAACTAACTACAACCAGGTTATTACACGAAAGATGACCGTGATATAATTAGTTAAATTCCTTGACTCGTCAGGCAATCAGATTATGAATGAATTATGACTTAATTACCGGACATGAATATATGCTATCTTAGAAAAAGGTGATGCATGACAAGCTGGAGATTGCTAATTATATCGTTGTGTTTGATTCCATTCATTTTTGTGCTGCTCATTTGTACCAAAGAACAAGACATGACATAAAAGGGGGAGGGGGTTATTACCTGATTAACATCGTTACTTTAGAAAAAGTAACTGTTTTTTTTCCCTCGGGAACAATTCTCAAAATGATTATTTACTTGATTGAGGTTTAATATCTAGCAGCGAATATTACATATAAATAAGAAGATGTGGTATGAGTGCCAATGAGACAACTCTCCATCCAAGTCACACTGTATAAAAAGTAAACAGTTATAGGTCAAAAATGCATATTCAGGACGATAACATGTTAAATGTTAATTGGAGTTTCCCTGGTTTTCATTAGACCGACCCACTGTTTCGAATGTTTACAACACTAGTTCACAAGACAACAGTCCACATGATGACTTGTCACCCTAACCGGACACATTATTACTTCAAGCTGACCAGTATTGGCTCTTACTCTTGTACTTTGTGCGGAGAAATAAATATTCTGTCCTGGAATAGCTTTAAAATAACCATTCCGTCTAGAATTAATATGGAAATAAATATTCTGACCATTCCGAAATTGCCAGCCCCGATTCCTGTTCAGAATAAAATGGTCGTCCAATAACAGCATTATAAAACAAAAATATTAAATTGTAAAAAATTAGAAAATGTGAAATAATCCGCAGACAGGAATTTATAGCCAATTGAGGTAAAATCCACAGTCTAATAGCGGAAAGTGCATGACAGCTTTCTAGAGCCATTATTTATGTATAAACTTTGTATCACTAATGACAAACATTAACATCATATGGGAAAAAACCAATAGCACCGCACAAATATATATCTTTTTAAAAACAATAACAAAAACATTTATCGTTTTCTCTTCCAGCTAATTTGTTCGCTAACTTGTAAACATATAGGGGTAATCGACAGAAAAACATTAAATATTTAAACAACTAAAATGTCAACAGCAATTCTGTGCATGCAATTATCGCTAACTTTATACATAAAAGTGCAAACAATATGCAGCACTATTTAATTTGGCATGGTTGCATATAAGACAAATAAAGCCTTGCCTATTGTTAAAACAATGGCGTGCAATTTTCTTAGAAACTCTAAATCCCCTTCCACCCTAACCATATTGGGATTTACTGCGTTTTCTTATTTAGATTATGAAAGGTTTTACTTCGTTTTTTTTTTATTTGGATCATTAGGGGATTTACTTCGGTTTTCTGATTTGAACTATTAAGGGCTTTCTGTATGTGCCTGTCTCAAGTCTGGAGCCTGTAATTCAGTGGTTGTCGTTTATTGCTGTATATCATATTTGTTTTTCGTTTATCAATTTGTACGTAAATCATTAACTTTAACTTTCTCGTTTGAATTATTTTCGCATTTCTATAGTTGTAAAAGTCATTTGGTCGCTGGTGGAGAGCTGTCTCTTCAAGCAACCATACCACATCTTCTTATTTTTATATTTAATGTGTTTTTCTGGTTTGGATTATACAAGGTTTTAATGCGTTTATCTGATTTTGATTTTTAAGGGTTTTTCTGCAGTTTTTTGGGTTCTTTTAGTTACTTTTTTTAAATATAAGAGCACAGTGGTTATAATTCAGCTTATCTCGATTTCTTGAACGCCAACACGTTTTTAAAAGTGTGCTGAGATTTCCATTTGTGGCGTAACACCGAAAAACTTTGTCATTAAAACAGGACTGGAATAATTGAAATCCCGACAAAAAAAGAAATGTATGGTAAAAATTGATATTTTCATCATCGGGCAATGTTTAAGCTAAACTTTTTATTAATTACTGAAAAAAATAGTCGCATGTTTAAATAGTAATCAAATTATCAGAACAGCAAATATTAACGTTAATTATAGATGGAATTGATTGTTAAACATCACGAAACAACGAATTTGTATCGTAGAGAATTGAATATTTACACCCTATAGCATCTAGAATAAAGATAAATGTCAACGCTTTTCAGATACAAGCGGTTCCCACAAGAATGTAAGACTACAAGCACATCAGATAGCAAACAGAAAACTTTCCCTAGTCTTTACCACGAACAAGATCATATTGGATGTAAAAGCTGCAGTGACGTTAGAGCCAGACAGGAACGACGAAATACACGGACACGTCCTTGGAAGGAAACAAATACAACCGACACAATGTCGTCAAACGAAGAAACTAATGATACCTCAGGTAAGTCGATGCAAACTTCTGATAGCTCAGGTAGGTCGATGTAAACTTCTGATAGCTCAGGTAAGTCGATATCAACTTTTGATATCTCAGGTAAGTCGATTTAATCTTCTGATAGTACAGATAAGTCGATTTAAACTTCTGATAGTTCAGGTAAGTCGATGTTAATTAAGTGATATCTAAGGTAACTTACATTTACTGAAGACATCTGTTATCCTTTAAAAACAAGTAAGCAATAAATTGTATATTTTTTTGTCATGAAAATCACTTAGTCTTGCTTATATACACTAACCTCTGCTGTCTAAATGTATAATTTGTATGTAACCGTTTGTGTCTGAGGAAACTAAAGTTTTTGTTGTTGTTGGTAAGTCGATGTACACTTCTCATTTATCATGATAGCTCAGGTAAGTCGATGTTAATAAATGATAGCTCAGGGAAGCCTATGTTAATGTTCAGGTAAGTCGATGTATCAATGTATGAACAGGAAATTGTCTTCTCTTGACAATGTTAACACGTTCTGACTTTCTGCCAGTCAGAATGATACTGATACCATCCGTTCCTCAACTACTGCAGTTTGAAAACTATATAAGTCAAAATCAAATCCAATCTCAAAAGCATCTGGTTAATAGACAATTCTTCAATTGAATACCAAGTGAAGCATTTAGACTCCTTGATGCCTCCCGTGTAAATTGTACATTATTATGCGTATTTTCAAAAAGACTATTAACACGGCAATCAATTTCCGGCATGTTTTGAACAATTATAATAATGATAAAAGAGATCATAGAAAGTGGATGGAAAGTGTTTTCATATTGTTGTTATTGCAAAACCTAGATAAATCGAATGTTTGTAAAGACCTATCAAATATAATGCATATTATTACACAGTATAATTATACGGAATAGTTAAACTAACTACCAAACATTGAACTTGAATAAAACAGAGAGGGAAAACATGACCATATGGAAACTTTCATAGAAACTCATGTCAATATCAGATTTGTTTATTCATTTAACCTTTTACAAACACTCGGTCAACACTAAATCAATAGAAATAAATCTAGTTACTTGTATCACAAGAAATCATTACATAAAAATCCTTCGCTGACATCTGTCACAGAGAAGAATCGTGTAATGTTCCGAACAAACATGTTTCTGTTTCTTTGAACAAGTAAAATCTCTTGGGTGCTCCATCAATTTGTCATGCTCTGCTTTGTGCAAATATTTCTCTATTGACATTTTATGGTAACTAATGTCAGTATTTGTTTTCATCAAACATTTTTACAGTATCATGATTTTTTTTAAAAATGTATGAGATTATTTTATATTTGTTTTGTTTGTTATGCATCAGTTTCATCAACATGATATTAATTGTCAGTAAAGAATTATACTCCATTCGTTCACCTCAAACCACACCCTCAAACCTGTGAACTTGTTCCCATCAAAAATATTTTTCAATTTATGTCGATATCTTGGAATATTTTTTTTTTATGAAAACACATATTTAGATTTTATCCAAAATATTTCTTTTAAGATTTCAATTCTGGTTATTTTGGCTCTTAATTTTAGTGTTGGCGTTTCCATTACTATAGTTATAAAATAATTAATGTTCGCTCTTTTCGCGGACCATGGTTGTCTTCAAGCTGACTCCGACACATACCAGTAATCAACAGCTGAATGCGAGTTTCCATAGTTTGTTTCTATTCAATGGTCTACAGAGAGCATGTGATTGTATTCGTACACATATGGTCGACAAAGAAATACATCGGAGACTAAAAGGTCTACTTATTAGAGTTAACGAAACAAATTTACTGCACCAAATAAGCATTTCAACCAGTGAAGGTTAACAATTTGGAAAGGCAAAACCTTTGACAAGCTTTGAATGACTGTTATAACAAAAGACATACCCAAAAGTTAAGCCAAACCCGGACAAAAGAGATATGCATGGAGAATTTTATGAGATTTTGACATAGATCTATTACTTACATGGCTATTTCAATTCGTTGAAGTTATGTAGAAAACCAGCAAAATTATGTCAAAGCTTCATTTAACTTTCGTTATTGACATTTGCCAAATAATTCCCCATTACTGATTTATTTTAAAATGAAAGTATACTGAAGTTGATTTTTCGATCATTATTTTAATACAGAAAGGGCGTTCATGATTGTTCTACTTTTTACAGGTGAGAAGGTAGAAGAGACATTTTTCTTGACTGATGCAGAAAAAATTAGATGGTCTGCAGACCAAGAAGAGGAAAGAGTTTTGATGGGAAACCATTTTGATCCTCCAAGAGTTGTGGTTAGTAATGACGTAATTATATTTCGGAATTAATGATCTTACACAAGTTTAAACTTTAACCTATCAACAACAAAAAAGGTGAAAAACTGGTAAACTATCGAATGAAAAGCATTCATTGGCAAATAAAATGCATATGATTATAAAAATCTGACCAAATTAAAAAACGAGAGAAAATATAGTCGTATTGAAGACCGGATCAAATATAATTTGTGGAAAATAATGACAAGTTAACCCTCAATTTCGAAAAAGAGAACTTAGAATTCAAATATCTGCGAAGGCATTTTAAATTTTAAGCAAAAAAAATTGAGAATGGAAATGGGGAATGTGTCAAAGAGACAACAACCCGACCATAGAGCAGACAACAGCCGAAGGCCACCAATGGGTCTTTAATGCAGCGAGAAACTCCCGCACCCGGAGGCGTCCTTCAGCTGACCCCTAAACAAATATGTATACTAGTTCAGTGATAATGGACGTCATACTAAACTCCAAATTATACACAAGAAACTAAAATTAAAAATGATACAAGACTAACAAAGGCCAGAGGCTCCTGACTTGGGACAGGCGCAAAAATGCGGCGGGGTTAAACATGTTTTTTGAGATCTCAACCCTCCCCCTATACCTCTAGCCAATGTAGAAAAACAAACGTACAACAGTACGCACAGTAAAACTCAGTTTAAGAGAAGTCCGAGTCCGATGTCAGAATAGGAAACAAAAGAAAATAAACAAAATGACAATAATACATAAATAACAACAGACTACTAGCAGTTACTGACATGCCAGCTCCAGACCTCAATTAAACTGATTGAAAGATCAGGCACAATCCCTCCTGTTAGGGGTTTAGTATTATACCGTCATAAAATATATGAGAAGAACATAACTCGTGTCATGCCAACAACTGGTTTTAGAATAGATATGTTTAATTCCGATGCAAAGACCCTATAAGTGAATCAATATTAAAGCCAAAGTATGCAATCTTTAATGACCTGACAACAGTATCGTAACTATATCCCATGTTTATGTTTACAGTTTTAAGTTCTAATATCGTTTTTTTTTATTTTCGGTGAGAAAAAAAATATTTTCGAAAGGAATGAGATTGCGAAAAAAATCTTCTCTATTGTTTACGAGTATAGATATATAATAGATAAGAATTTGATAAAAACATCTAAGTATATATATTCAATTCTTTTGATTTTTTTAATTCAAAATCATGCAAAAATGACATTTTATGGTATTATTTTTTCATACTTTGCTAGTGAGTAGTTTTTCATTGAGTTTATTTGTACGGTTTAACTGGATTTCTACTTTATTGATATAAAAATTATCAAATATTTATTTTTAAGTAATTTTTTCAGCTGATATCTTCCAAAGTTCCAAAGAAACACCTTATCCCAAAGCTCTTTCACGACAATAAGAGACTATTACATATTGTTTACGTAAGTTATTTCATTGAGGTATTTTGTTCTGGTTAAGTGATACAATTTCTTCAAAGGACAATAGTAACACGAAAAATAAGTTGACCTAACTGGAACAATGTAAAGGTCAAATCATAGTCAAATGCATGACTTATACGCACTTTACAACTGATCTGATAGTTAAGTCTGTACATTGTGCATACAAATTGAATTTATTTGCATGAATTCTTACTAACTTTTTAAAGTAGTAACAAACTGGGCAAACAGGTGTTTGAAGCATTCGTTTGTTACATACGTTTGCAAACATGCTAACTTAACTTCATTGTCCTTTTTACACAGTCAAGTATATGTGCTGTAAGGATAATTTTTTGAAAAACACATCAATGGTGTTATTCGTGCGACTATCGAACATTTTATGATTTAAAGCAATGCGTATTCATCGGAAGACATTAACATTCAGTAGAGAGTTTATTTTTTTCATTTTCCTTTCATAAACAAATTTTGTTATTTAGTATACATCATGACAAGAATATAACTAATATTTTTTTTTATCCTTTTCAGGATTTTGATACTTGGTCTTTCTCTGATATAAATGGTAAGTAATACATATAAACAATACTTATAAGAATAAGGAGATGTGGTATGATATATACTGTTGGTTTGTTTTGGTCTCAAAATGAAACGGTAGTCTTAAAAGGAAATATTACAATTGATAAGAGTTTTGTTTAAATTTTTAAGTTTTCAGACAAACCAGCCACATAAGTTCGACTAGGAGAGACATGAAACTTTAAACAAACGTAAGCACGTGGTCTAATATATTTTTAACATCTAATTTGAAAAACACATTTTTTAATTTTTTTTCTAAATTACAGTTTATTTTTGATTATCATAAACAGATTGTTATATAAAAAAACGTAGTCTATGTGATTGCTTTATTTTTCCTTCAGAAATCTTTTATTCTGTTTATGAAGAATTTGTACTCAGTTATATAAGGTCAGATTCATTTGATGAAAATAAGGATATATAATGCATATCGATGATGGACCCTTACAGTGTTAATTCCGACATCCTGTTTTAAAGGATAGAGATACATGCTAGAGTGGGGTGCTTTAAGGGTTAGTTTAGGCCCGCTGTGTATTCGTTCACTCGTTTGTGGTTGTCTCCTCTGTTTATATCTTGATGTTCTTGTCCTTCGAGAATTCGCTGTTGACGGCAGAAGATGGTTTCTTTTGAATCTGCTGACAACTTTTGTAGGTTAGGGACAGTTTAAGTCCACACATTTTGTAAACACTTGTCTGCTGTTGAAGTCCGTACAATGATCTCTGGATGTATTTGGTTATTGTGCCGTTAGGTTGCTGTTAATGTACATTTATCCAATTCTCCTTTAATTGATACCAGGGGTAGTCGATATATGTGGATAGGAATATATCAATAAAACATTTGAAATCGTTCAGGGCGTTTTAGTCATTACTTAAGACCTTTTTGAGAATTTGTTCAATCTTGTATATCATTTCGTGTCTTTTTATGGACACCATCCCTATGCATTACTTACATTATATTTCTATTAATTGGCGTACAATAAACGTTTTCAGATGCTATTCAGAAGAGATTGGATAGTGTTAAACCTGCCTGCAAAGCAAAGTCTGTGATATTATTTTGTCAGGTAATGTATGCCAGGAATACAACAAAAGTTAGAAAACGGTTCTACCAATCCAAACATTTAAACTCGTTCAAACCAACTATATATTTAAATTAATTTTTTTCTAAATTGTTCCGGATTTTAAAATACTACTTTTTACAGAAAAAAATAAACTGTTCTGTGCAGTTTTTCGTGAAATATTCTGTTTTGCCATCGTATAACCTTTTGAGGTGTTTTCATATACTAGTGACCGTTAAACGTTTCCATGATTAGTACTGAATTTATTAGAATGCGCGGAAGCTAAAAGTGACAATTTCGAAATCATTCTATTTTTCTATTTTTCTTTAAAGAATATTGAATAATTCTAACTTTGCTTTTGTGCTGAGTATTATCATGTGTTATGTCGTTAAGGAGAGACATTTATATATATATTCATGTAATTGTGTATTGATGCTAGTTTTGTTACAACCTACTCTTCTAAAACTGATTTTTTCTGTCAACTTTTATTTTACAATTTGAAACATTCCATTTTATAAGGTAAATATATATTTGCAGATTTAACTTGTTGTGCTGATATTTAGAGTAGTTATGAATATAATATGTGTTTTCAGTCGTGTATCACCTTCATTGGTGATCCAATGAATGGATCTGTCGTAGAGTTGTCACTTGTTTAGACGTACCTATATATATATATATATATATATATAGATACATGTTATTATTTTATTGTGTGAGAAATAAATGTTCCGAAATTCATGATTTTGTTAGTTTTTACTGGCGTCGCCAGAAGCAAGAGCAGATCTAGTAACCGCCCATTCGGTCCTTCGGAAATTCATAGAGGGAGCGATGTTTGTGTCATCCGTATCTCAAACAGTTTTTCGTTGACATGCAACTTTGCACTGAGACTGTAAACAGAATGAAGATCTGTACTTACTTTTCTGGACAGATTTGCATTATTGTTTCTCAGGTTCACATATGTCTGCTTTTTTAATAATGTTTGTCTTTGAATGTTATAGATGGTACCTACCTTATATCATGTGTACAAGCAAAGGAGGGAATTGCATGAATTCCTAAAGTAGCGACACCGGTTGCGTCGATAGGGTTAGCCATCTACGCCATTTGGTCGCTGGTGGATAGTTATCTCATTAGCAAACATATCACATCTGGTTATATTATACATTTTTATATTAGTGTCTACTGCTTTGCATGCATCACTACTCTATAAAGAATATCTAGTTTGTGTCAGGTGTAACTCCAACCGTTTTTCGCAAACACTATTTAAACATTTGTTCTTGTTTAACAAACTTTGTTGTTCTTCAGTATTTTAGACAGATTTAAATGATTTTTTCTCGGGTTTTCCTTTCATAAAACTCGAATCAAAAAAGTTGAAAAGGTCAAATAAAGTGCTAAGTTGAAGAGGATTGAGTACCCACTAAATCACTCAAATCAAAACACTCCACACTCGGATAGCTTAATCAATTACGAATATGAAAAGCATTGAAAACCCAAATTTAAGGGGAAAAAAGGTTTGCCAAATCTAGTACATCTATGACTGAAGGTTTAAATCCATAACAGCAATATGTATAGGGACGATGGCATATACACATTGGCAACATAAGAATGAAATGTTAGTAGTACAAGAAATGGCAATTTCATATTTCTACTTCAGGGTGGATCCGGTTTTATATACTTGTTGAGAAAATATGTAGTCACTCCTCAGAAAATGCACAAGGAATCGTACCAAGATGTTAGAGAGTAAGTAAGTATTTAACTATACGTGATTATTCAAATAGTCCAAAAATTTATTAAATATGGTAATCATTTATCTTTCGTAAACGATCATTGTTTATCTTATTCCTAAAACTTACCAATCGTGTACATAGAAATTCATAGAATATAAGCAAATATGCATTTTCGTTATACATTTATAAAAAGATGAATAATCTGTTATGTCCAATACAGACATTCATGATTCATATACTTCTTGCAGGATATTAATATTTCCATATTTGATTTTTAACATCATTTCATGGATCTGCATCAGCTCACCTTATAATCCGCAATTTCCCCTTACCAGGACGGAACCGTGACTATATGTCCCTTTTCCTTTTTAGTCCAGATGTTAGCCTAAGTTTCTTTTGATTTTGTACTTTATCTGTGCTGTTTTATTCTTTTTGCAACGTTTTGAAAACTATAGAGTGACTAACATTCAGTATAGGATACACTTTCCTGTACACGTATATCTGAAATATATGTATATGCCATTATTTTATATTTTATCTCAGATTCTGGAAACGACTTGGAAGTCAAATAAGCAAACTTTGCCAAGGAGAATCAAAAATAAACATTGTTTGCAAGAACGTGAATGAAGGTCGACAAGGCATTGAGGTATTTTACAAATCTTTATAACATAACTTATCAATGCTTTTACAAAGGAAAATAATATTGATATAAACAAATAAGCGTAAAGTTGAGTTAATCAATAGTGGCATTATATAGAACATGATTATCAAATTGGTATTATTAATTATTCAAATTTAGTTACACTAATGCCATAACTTTCTCTGGCTAATTTAAGCAACAGTATGATACCGATGTTTAAATCTCATAAATCGATTGAGAAGATACAAATCTAGGTATCAAACAAAAAACCGTTGGGACCAAAAGAACATCAAAAAGAGTGAGATCGGGTGTGTCGATAGGATAAGTGTCTCCTGCTATGCATGCATCACAGCCATGCAAATTCAACACTCAGTCAAAATGTCACAATCGGGAATAATACACATCGTACTGGTCAACTAAGTTAATGGTGACCGTAAAACTTGTGTATGTGTTGCTTTCAGTCGTTCTTCCTCAGTTTTGTTTGTGTTGTGTTTGACGTTGCCATTAAAGCGGGAGGTTTGGCATGCCACAAAACCAGGTTCAACCCACCATTATTTTCTTAAAATGTCCTGTACCAAGTCAGGAAAATGGCCATTGTTATATTATAGTTCGTTTCTGTGTGTGTTACATTTTTAATGTTGTGTTTTTGTTGTGTCGTTGTTCTCCTCTTATACTTGATGCGTTTCCCTCAGTTTTAGTTTGTTGCCAGGATTTGTTTTTATCTCTATCGATTTATGAGTTTCGAACAGCGGTATACTACTGTTGCCTTTATTTGTGCAAGGACTACACGTCACTTTAAAATAAAGTACGTATAGTATGAACATGTATGAACGTAACGTATTAATAGAGATATGTTAAGGCCATACGATGGGGTAGAGGGTATGTGACTGCTGAGAAATGGGAAGTTGACAATTGGAAAATTGAAATCATCACGTTTGAATATATTCTAGTTTGAAGTCGTCTATCTATGTCAATATTTAGAAAAGCTCAAGAGAAGATAAGATATACTTTATTACCAATTAAGGGCCCACAAGGGGCATATAGAGAATACATGTATAAGGAAAAAGAACATTGATTAGCATTGATACATAGAATTTAAATAAACAATTACAATACAGTTAGACTGTAAAAAGCCCTTGGTTTAAAGTATATAACATATTTATATGAGAAATAAATACATCTCATATTGACTTGAATACATTTTCAAACAGCATTTAAGTACCCGATTGTCGTCACAGCTCAATAAGTATATAAATTTTTGATGATTGTCCAGTAAAGTAAAGTTTGGCATTTTATGGCAAAGAAAGTCAAAGAGAGCATCTCTATCAGAGTTCAATTTTTCACATGAAGTTAAAAAATGGATTTCATCTTCAATACAGCCAGAGGAGCATTTTTTGCAAATTCTTTCATTTCGTGGAATATACAATTATGAAACAGACGTTTTCTCAACAAAGTTGGTTTTACAATGACAGTGACAAGTTAAGCAAATTATGAGATGTTTCAACTAAAGCGTGAAATAATTTCAAAGTTAGTATCACATTTCTATTTAAGGATGTCATACGCACCAAATTTAGTATTACATTTTCTGCAGAAACGTCATTTACATCAAAACCATTACTACAACTTCAATGGAAAGGTTGAAGTCACGAGTTGAAAGAACATCATTATGATTTTGGTTGACAGCTGTTGAATATCTTAACTTGACAGCGAATGTGATGCATGTGTCATATTTAGGCGATACTACTGTCTTCCTTTCCTCGTGCATGACATTACCAAATGCGACAAATTACCAGATTTTTATTTGTAATGAGCAACTCAACGGGTGCCATCAGTTGAGTAGAAACTTCTTATTTTTGTAGTATCTTATTTCATCCTAGTCTTTTGTGGGATTCGTGTCTCTCTCCTTTTCTATATGTAAAAGTGCTTTGTAGTCTGGTATTCTACTTTTTTGTCATTGTGTTATATGCCTTTCTTCGATAAAATGTTTATGAAATTTCTTCATGGGAATACATACATTTCATACAAACAGTTATTCAATCCATAAAACAAAATAGTATGCCATAAATTTACACTAAGAGTGTATCATAACGACTGCATGTGCTTCCCATGACAACACCACTACAATGCATCAGAAAACAAACGAAAACCTCGATACAAATCATAATTTCCTAGTTGTGGCATATACTTGTAAATAAAAGGATTGAATGCTTCTTTCTGTAATTTTATAGGGTTGTGAAAATGATGATCGTGTGCACATTTTAAGTATGAAGCACTCTTTTGCGCTTCATACAAAATGTTCTTCGATCAACCCTTTTACATCCAAATCAGATTACAAAAAGAAGCATATAATTCTTAAATAAAAAAGGACAGATAAATACCATTATAATTTCACTTCGATTGCCTAGATGCATGAACAAATGTAGACATTCAATGAAATAGATACCTGTAATTCGTAAATATTTTATTTTTCCAATAAAGGTAATTAGATCAATCCAACGATTGGTTCACTCAGACATGGTGAAAGTTGAAGTGGTCGACAATACAAATGAACAAGGTATGTATTTTTCCCTGTCCAAGGAACTTTGCCTGGTAATGCGCAACAACTTAAATTTCTCTTAAAATCAAAGCCTACGTGATGTATATGCATATACATTTTCAAACCTTTTAAAAAATAAAGATATCTCTTTTTGTCTTACTTTTGTAAAGATTAGAAAAGTAGGCTAAGAAAGTGACTGTGTTGCATGGAAAAAATAAAACCCGTTTCACAATGTAACCCCAAATAAGTAAATATCCCCCTATAAGTATTTCCAACACGCTAAAAGTATTTAGCCAACTAAAACAACCATTCGTTGAATTCAACTTCATTCGAGTATATAGACACAAATCTGCCAGCTATGCTTTTTACTAGTAATTCAATATTATATTTTATAGTTAAGTATCAAGTATATCAGTTTTTCAAATAAACAAAAGACATCCAGAGGTCAACGTACATTCGTAAGCAGTAGCCATTTGTCCATACATTATATGTCAAGCTCTAAATTGCCCAGTCTTAACAAGTTGAAAATAACTTTTAAAAAGACAATCAAAGATCTGCCATCTGTAACAAATCAGTAATATGACAGTAATTTTCCATTCGTTTTATGTGTTTGAGTATTTGATTTTGCTATTTGATAAGGGACTTTCCGTTTTGAATTTTCATTGGAGTTCGGTATTTTTGTTATTTTACTTTTTTCTAAGCATATCTCATCTTTAATACACACGATATCTCAGACCTATAGCTAATTAAAAAATTACTTGTTTTTTACTGTCAACTATGCATAAGTTATATAGATACAATGGATAAGCGTGGATTCTTGAAAAAGAAACCATGAACATGTGAAATAGTCAATAATAATCCAAAAAATAAACGGTAAAACTAGCTATTATTACAAAAATATCCTATAACATGCAAAATTAGAAAAAAAACAGAATTGGGACAATAGAGATAATACAGGGATTCGAACCTAAACCGACAAATCCCTATCTTTTAACTCGTTGATATCAAGCATGCTAACCTCGCGGCTACCAACTTATACTATACGACTGCCCATTGTGTATATATAAAGGTACAACCCCTGTGTGTCCGATGTTCATTTATATATATATAAAATAGACATCTAAGTTGTAACCCATTGGTAGCCGAGAGGTTTTGTCGATGCGTTGATGTCAGTCATTCATAATATATTTCAAGGAAGGGTTCGATTCCCAGTGAAGGCATATACAAATTACAAGATTAAAGGTAAGTTTAATTCCATTAGAGAACAGAAATCAGTAAATTAGCCAATTCAAACTTAATGAAATTAGACACACAAAGGAAACAATTGAACATAATTTGGTGAGTCCATTTCAGCGGCAGATTTAGGAAGCGTTGATTCTAGAAAAAGAATCCACGGTAAATGAATAGGCTGACGTCACGACAATGGTTTAATGTGACTTCAACATATCGACAAAACCTCTCGGCTACCAATGGGTTACAATTTAAATGTCTATTATATATATATACATTTAAATGAACATATGATATACATCGGTACAACGGACACACAGGGCTTGTACCTTTATATATGCATAATAGGCAATTGTATAGTATAAGTTGGTAGCCGCGAGGTTAGCATGGTTAGGATCAATGAGTTAAAGGTAGGGACTTGTCGGTTAAGGTTCGAATCCCCGTATTCTCTTTGTTGTCCATATTCTTTAGTTTTCTTGTTTTTTTCTTCTTGTTTTGTATGTTGTTGTGGATATTTTTGTAATAATAGCGAGTTTTACCGTTTATTTTTGGATTATTATTGACTATTTCACATATTTGAAACGAAAATGATTACATTCTATTTGTCCATTTTTGTTTTATAAATATAGTATGATTCCATCTGTTTTACTACATAATTTTAGAAATGGTTATTCGCAAATTTCTATGCGAGAAAATCGTGATGTGTCTAGAATTAGGCTTCTTGCTAGAAATTTCGGTAACATACTTATCATATATACTTTATATATCCTCTTTGGTCGGATTTCGTAAAAACTCTTTCGTAATATTCAGATGCCCGATAATATAAAGATCTTTAAAGGCAGACGTGTTGTGTTATATTTGTATTTTTTAACCAATTTATTGTGATCTTAGATTTATTAATGCATCGTTGGACACGATAACATGGTTATTTAAACTCACTTACAATACCTTCTAATTAGGAAAAGGCTTTAATTTTGAAAAGACATTAACACAATAGTCTAAGTTATACATACAATGGATAAGCGTTGATTCATGAAAAACAAACCATTCGCCCTCCAGGCTCATGGTTTCTTTTTCAAGAATCAACGCTTATCCATGGTATCTGTATAACAGAAATAACATGGCATGATTTATAAATTTCACATTAAGAAACGTGGCTTAATAAGTCGGGAAACTGACATGTGTTCTAGAATACCCAAAAGAGGCTAAGGAAAGTTAACCTTATGCATGAAGTGTGATTAATTTTTATACGCCCGTCAAATTTTTGACGGGACGTATTATGTTATACAAATGTCCGGCGTCCGTCCGTCCGTCTGTCTGTCCGTCTGTCCGTCTGTCTGTCCGTCTGTCCGTCTGTCTGTCCGTCTGTCCGTCTGTCTGTCCGGCGTAAACATGTCGCACCGTAACTTGAGAACGACTTATCCAAATTTCATGAAACTTAACATAGTTGTTTCTTATGATGGTCAAACGATCTGTATACTTTTTGGTGAAAATAAGATTAAAACTTTTTGAGTTACGGGACTTAGTAACTAAAACAGGTGTGTATTTTTTTTCACATGTCGCGCCGTATCTCAAAAACAATTTATGATTATTGCTTAAAACTTTAAACACTTCTTAGTTATATTAATCTTAAGATCTGTATACTTTTTGGTGATGATTCAAAATTTTATTTTTGAGTTATTGAGTATTTTGTTAAAAAGGGGGAGGGGTTTTTCACATGTCGCGCCGTATCTCAAAAACAGTTTATGATTATTGCTTAAAACTTTACACACTTCTTAGTTATATTAACCTTAAGATCTGTATACTTTTTGGTTTTGATTCAAAATTTTATTTTTGAGTTATTGAGTATTTTGTAAAAAAAGGGGGAGGGGTTTTTCACATGTCGCGCCATATCTCAAAAATGATTTATGATTATTGCTTAAAATTTTACACACTTCTTAGTTATATTAATCTAAAGATCTGTATACTTTTTGGTTTTGATTCAAAATTTTATTTTATAGATATTGAGTTTTTTGTAAAAAAAAAAAGGGGGTTTTTCGCATGTCACGCCGTATGTCAGAAACTATTTATGCTTATTGCATAAAAATTCACACACAAGACGACGGGCGTATCATGCGCTCATGGCGCAGCTGTTTATTATTAAAGTTATCAGTTTACAGATAAGTAATCAAGTTCTAAATACCTAACAGTTTAGGTGATGGTAGATTGATTGTTGTGTGTTTTGCATGCAGTTTAAATATTTTATGCATTTTGAGGATTGATTGATTGATTATTGACTGCTTAACGTCCAGTGGCAAATATTTCATTCATTGCATTTTGCGCGATATGATGTTATATCAGATTTATTTTATTGATGGAATGGAACATGAACATGCAAGTTGTTATAATTTGAAGTCTTTGGTCTGTACTTTATACAAAATATGTTTGCAATTTGAAATTTTAGTTGCATTGCTTAGTGTAGTTTTTTTTTATTACAAGGAAGACGAAAAGACTAGTTTTGAAACAGCTTGAACATTAAACAAATGCATATATTGATTACCAATGCCATCATACAATCATCATGCAGATTTCTAACTAATTTAATGTGTGATTGACTATTTGTCTCTTTAGTGATAAGTGTTAGATTTTGTTAACGTGATTTAGTTAAAACATTAACAGCGACATCATTTTTTAACGCTTGTGATATGTTTCCCCGAGACAAACAATGAATTTTGAAAAAATGTACAATAACAAAATAGAATTCTGTAATTACACAATAGCTATTACTTGTTTCAAAACGATACTGGATAAAATGAAGATGTAAGGACTTGTAAATACTCTATGGATGAAAATTAATAAAATCGTTACATTTTAATCAAAAATTGTCAGTTTATAAATGACAAGAATATAAAGTAGTGCTAAACTAATATTATAACTCCCTTACGTAAACTTTGTCTTTGACGGTTTTATCTGTTTACGCCCTTTTTATTTAAATGTTCTTAAACGTTTTATAATTTAGGCTTGCAAAGGATTGGGCTTGAGTTTGCCTTACTTGTGTGCCATCTGAAACAATGGAATCGATTTTAGGCGTTTGTTTTGTTTTAAACAATATTTTCAATAACTTTGTGCCTTCATATTTGTCCTATATGCTTATTAAAAGAGCTTATTGATTTGTTTTGCTCCTTTCATCAAAACGTAAAAAGTTCAAAAGTACGGACTATATATTCAAAAGCTTTACCTTCTTTTGACGTTCTATGTTATATCTATGATATTACACTATAAGGATAACAGGAATTACCTAAATATTTTTTAGTACAAAATACCAAACCACCAACCAATAAAGGCAACAGTAGTATACCGTTATTCGAAATTCATAACTCGATTGAGAAAAAAACAAATCCGGGTTACAAACTAAAACTGAGGGAAACACATCAAATATAAGAGAAAAACAACGACATAACAGGAACTCAACACTAAAATGCAACACACACAGAAACGAACTATAATATAACAATGGCCATTTCCCTGACTTGCTACAGGACATTCTAAGAAAAAATGGTGGGTTGAACCTGGTTTTGTGGCTAGCCAAACCTCCCGCTTTTATGGCAATGTTAGATATAACATTCAAAGGACAAGATTAAATGACAGGACTACAATACAAATAAATTGGAGAACATATAGGACAGAGACACACACAAATAATAGCTATCAAAAGGTACCAGGCTTATAATTTAATACGCCAGACGCGCGTTTCGTCTACATAAGACCCATCAGTGACGCTCAGATAAAAAAAGCCCGAAAGCCAAAACAAGTACAAAGTTAAAGAGCATTGAGGACCAATAGTTCCAAAAAGTTGTGCCAAATACGGCTAAGGTTATATGCCTGGGATAAGAAAATCCTTAACATTTAGAATAATTCATACTTTTGCAAACAGTAAATTTATAAAAAGGCCTTTATAATAGATATACATGTTAACACCGATGTGGTGATTAACTACAGATTAAAAACGAACACATAAAACAACCTAAAACGCGTCTGGCGTATTAAATTATAAGCCTGGTACCTTTTGATAGCTATTATTTGTGTGTGTCTCAATTACCGCCCCGCCCCCTACAAAACATAGATGAACAAACAACAAGGAACAACATATGATCAGGCACACAAAGCGTTGGGATTGAACTTACTATACGTGCATACAAAATCCCTTTTGTCAGTTTACTCAATTTGCTGTAAAATTTAAACACACAATAAAAGACCTACATACGTGTAGTGCAGTTAACAAAAAGATGACCACTACCTTGCAAAAATTAATAAAAAAACGGTCCATAATTTGGAAAGCATGATGATATTATATCATAATTTTCTTATTTTTTTTTTCTAGGTTTAAAAATACTTGATCTTTATTTTAATGTTGATCGATTTAACTTGTGGTCAGAATCTATGGACGACAGTGACAATGAAATAGATTTTAGCATTCTGGATGATAAAAGCAAGACCTGTAAAATAGACGACGATGAGGACATACCACGGACTATATCATCATTAGCAGCAGAAGTGGAAAATGAAACTTCATAAAATGGACTGTTAAGGTTCATAATATTTAATCATCATTTGTGCTTTCACTTGACAATTTAAAAAAAGATTGTTTTGATTATGCAAGTTCAGTTAATAAAATATGTTGATTTCTTAGTTCTGATCGAATTACATAACAACTTATATAAACTATGACTAAAGCAAAACTGGAAAACATATATAATGGAAAATGGCAATTGTTATCGTATAGTTTGTTTCTGTGTATGTTGCATTGTCGTTTGTTGTTTGTTCACTTCAGTGTTTCTGTTGTTTTGTTGTCCAAATGTACTATATTGTATTGTTTATTTGCGTAATTCTCTGTCCGTAATGTTGTACTGTATCCATGTCATGTAATGGTGTCAAAAGTGTTATATTTAACATTGCTATAAAAGTGCGAGGTTTGGCTTGCCACAAAACAAGATTCAACCCACCATTTTTTTCTTAAAATGTCCTGTACCAAGTCAGGAAAATGGCCATTGTTATATTATAGTTCGTTTCTGTGTGTGTTATATTTTGATGTTGTGTTTCTGTTTTGTCGTAGTTCTCCTCTTATATTTGATGTGTTTCCCTCAGTTTTAGTTTGTTACCCGGATTTGTTTTTTTTCTCAATCGATTTATGAATTTCGAACAGCGGTATACTACTGTTGCCTTTATGTATATCTATCTTCATTTGATAAATTTTACCATACACTCAGTTTTAATCCCCAAAACTTTAAAATTGATTTCCCGAACCAACCAAATCGTCAGGTACTTTCAAACGGTAAGCATTTTCAGCTTTTACCGTTGTCACATATCAGGCTACTTGGTTTGCTTACCCCCTATTAATACTAAAACTGAGTAATAAATTATATTGTCATTTTAGTTTTGAAGTTTGCGCATCTGTATTGTAGGAAGTGTTCCTTGGTAGACGGAATTAAGATAACTATTTAAAGATTGAATACTTCAGGAGCGGAAATAAAAATAAAACAGGTACTACTAATACTTTGCGCAGCAAGGACAAAGGGTTACAAAGAAGGAGTAAGCGAGACAAACAAATCCGAAGCGGACAACCTTTTAGTATTCTTCACTTTGTTTTCTTTTTTTAACTTATTGCAAATACTTACAATAGTAATACTTTTATAGTGATTAAGATTATAACACAAGGTTGACTGGTGTATCCCTATTTTTGACGTTTTTACCTATTATGTCTGTCTGTTTTGTTCACACATTGTTGTCAATATAATGGAACTTTATGCGACTGTCATACAAGTGAGAGGTTTAGCTAGCTATAAAACAAGGTTTAATCCACCATTTTCTACATAATGAAATGCCTGTACCAAGTCAGGAATATGACAGTTGTTTTCCATTCGTTTGATGTGTTTGGGATTTTGATATTGACATTTGATGAGGGACTTTCCGTTTTGAATTTTCCTTGGAGTTCGGTATTTTTGTTATTTTACTTTTTACAAAATAAATCTTATTACAAATTCTTACAAACACATTAACTGTCAAAGATCAACCACGTAACTTAGGACATATTGTCATTTTGATATACATTTTACATGTACCGGTAGTTAACATTATGATGTATTCATATATCAAGTTTCATGGTGTGTACTTCGCACCAAACTACCATAAACCTAAGCATTAAACTGCTTAATTTTCAAAATGAAACCAAGACTCAATATAAAGGTTAGTATACCAAATGATGCATGTTTAAATTATCTGAATCATCTGAAAGGAGACCGAAGAACTAGTGAAGGGATAATTGCAGTCGTTCTTTCTAATCGCCTTGCTGGAGTAGTATATAAAAGAACGTTAAGAGTATATATGTGTTAGTGAAACCAAGCAACTGAGATACTTTTTACACTTGAGAAATACACAAAGCTTTTATATGTTGTAAAAAACAAAATTTTAGTGTATTTTTTAATAGATTTGTTATTGTAATCAGTGTGGTTGTCAAAACGTGTTTACGATTCTTATCAAACGACTTTCATGAGATGATATAGACAACCTTCAATTTAAAACGAAGAAAAGTGACAATGAATAGCAAGATTGGTCAACACCAACACTATCAAAATACCAAAAAAAAACCCCAAAAAAACAAAGATGAACTCGGGGTTATGTTGTCAGGAATATGGCTGTTGTTTTTCACTTGTTCTGTTGATTGATGGCGTTTGATTTTTGTGTCAGTTTTTATGGACTTCCCTTTTTTGAATTTGCCTTATAGTTTTTTTTTTGTTACTAGTATTCTTTTTTGTCTTATAAAACGTTACAAACTATATGAACACAAATGACCCAAACAGAATACTTAATTCATCCGAGGTCAGCTTTGCATGAGGGAGTGGAACCTTAACTTCATAATGCTAGTATTATCTTAATTCATAAACTGTTATTTAAATATTTATGTTATAAATCATGTCAGTATCGAAGCACCGACTACTGATGATACTTACATGCATAGAGACTAGAGCATTCCACAAGCAGAGGTATCGACCTAGCTCTGGTAAATGAAATAAACTTGAATACTTGTATACAATAACTTTCAAAAGAATGATTTCTTGTTCTTTAAGCAATAATCCTGCTTCGCTGCGTACGTTGTTTATCTCACAGCAGTGCTTTTGTCCACTGCATTGATTTTCTTGAGAGAAGACATCTGCAGTTACATAAACTGTTCGGTAATAGGACAATTCTGTCAACTATCATAACAACAATGCCCTACAGTCTTCATAAACCGATCGGTCATTATTAGGTGATTCTATAACAATTGAATGCAGAATTGTTTTACATAGAGCTTCATCGATTTAAAACTTGCCATATTCGACTTGTAAATGGCTTTGTCGTTTGGTTAATAGAACGGGTGTCGCGTGTTTAATATTTGGAAACACCTAAGCTCATTCCATTTTAAATTTATAGGAATTTGCGTTCACTGTCCTTGAATGTCAGTTTTTGTTAATCCGTTGGTGTGTACAGCAATTAATAATAATCAAACTTCGTCAGCAGCACAGTTCATAATATATATAGATATAAGAAGATGTGGTATGAGTGCCAATGAGACAACTCTCCATCCAAGTCAAAATTTATAAAAGTAAACCATTATAGGTCAAAGTACGGTCTTCAACACGGAGCCTTGGCTCACACCGAACAGCAAGCTATAAAGGGCCCCAAAAATTACTAGTGTAAAACCATTCAAACGAGAAAACCAACGGTCTAATCTATATAAAAAACGAAAACGAGAAACACTTATGAACCACAATAACAAACGACAACTACTGAACATCAGATTCCTGACTTAGGACAGGTATCAACCAAATGTAACAATGACGTGTCTTTACTGAGTTTGGTCATAAACTAGGATTCATAGCAATACATGAATAAATCTGTTATTAAAGGGGCGCAGTTAGTGCTCATATGAATACCTACTACTTGTCGATACACTTTATCGCCGAAACGTACATATATGTTGTCAAGGAGAAAATTTAAAGCTTCAATCATATTTTCACATATAGTTTCTGCCATTTTTTTGTGTAATTTACTGTTGATAAAACGTTAAAATCATTTAAAACAATAAGATTTTATACTTCCAGATTGCCTCAGAAAAATTTGGAAAATCTTTTTTTTTAATTTATGGCCTTAAAGCTCTTCAACTTAGTAATTCAATTTGGCCTTTCAATTATTTTGATTCGAGCGCCAATGAAGAGTTTTATGTAGCTGACACGCATCTGGCATATTCAATCATACGTCTACTATCTTTGATGAGTTTTACAGCTACTGGGTTGATGTCACAGCTAGAGGAAGTTTAATTCCCGAGAGCATCACCAACCCAGCAAGTCAGTGCTTATGTGCTGACATGAAATATTATTGATACAATTATTTCTTGGAAATTTACTGTTGATAAAACATTCAAAACACTTAGTTTGTTTACGATAGGCATAGATGGCCTAAGCTAGATTTGGCACATTTTTATTTTTTTATTTTTTGGCTTTCATTGCACTTTAACTTCGTAATTCATTTAGCCTTCAAACAGATTGATTCGAACGCCTCTGTATATCATGAAGTTGAAACTTATATATGGCGTATTGGATTATAGGCCTGGTATCTCCTATGAGTTTTAACAACCACTAGGTCTGTGCCACTGATTGTGTGCGTTTCTTCCAAGAGGCATCACCAGCCTAGTAGTTAGTGCTTTTGTGTTGACATAAAATTTCATTAATATTTTAGTTTCCTGTTGATAAAACTTTTAAATATTTTCGGAACACTAAGGTTTTTCTACACCCAGGAATCGATGTTAAAAGCTAGATTTAGCACAAATGTTGTTTTTTTTTTGTTTTTTTGTTTTTTTGCTCTTAATACTCTTCAACTTCGTAATTGATTTTAGCATTCGGTTTTGATTCGAGTGCCATTTCTGATGTGTTTCACGTAGACGAAACGTGCGAAATTAAAAGTCTAGTACTTTGATGAGTTTTAAAGTTTGTCTCAATTTTGACCAACAGTTTAACCTAAACATTTTGAGGTCATTCCATTATTTTGAAAAGTAAGAAGAAACCAAGTGGGTCAATCAAATCCATTAGTCAAAGAAATAAATAAGATCCAATAATCAAATAGAAAACGACAAAGTGACAGAGAAAATGTAAATGGGACAATAAAAAATCATAATAGTAAGTCAAATAAAGACAGACAACACCAAAAGTAGAAAAGATAAAAAAAAAAAACCAATAACTACATACTGCATAGAAAACTAACGGTTGAACAAGATGAACTTTACAAAAATACGGGATTGAATTAAATTGCTCCGGAAGGGAAGGAATTCCTATTCAACTTGTGGCACCCATTTTGATACACATTACAAGTAAAACACAGCGATATTCAATAAGGTCAACCAAAGTATGATGGCGTCCGTACAAGTTTTGAGTGGTGACTGCACATTTGACATTTCAATTTTGGAACCCTTGATGCAATAGTTTCCTTGTAAGCAGTAACTCTTATCCAAGGAAACTTCTTAGGCAACTTAAGTTCTAGACTATCTAACTTTGAACATACTTAATTGCTGGCTGTGCTCGACTGTTGCTACATAGAAAGCTGAATTTAGTTCTCAACCGACTCTCATTGTCCATTTCTGGATAAAAGTCAAGATATGT